ACAAGCGAGCCACGCTCCGGCCTCGGCGGAGAACGGCGCCTGCCTGTCCCGAGCTGCCCCGGCCGCTGCCCGCGCCCCGTACCTGTCCAGTCCGCCGAGCGTCTCCCTCTCGTCGCCTGTCAGGCTGGGGGACGCCTCTTCGCTCTCGCCGCTCGCTTTTCCCGCCGCCATTTTCTTTTCCTCATCACCGAAAGCGGCGGCGGCAGCGGCGGTAGCGAGCGACACTCCGCAGGATTTCATGGAAACGCAACGAATTCCCAACTCCAACGCCGACAGCCCCCCTCCCCTGGCCGGGGCCCGCAACGACGCCCCCAATCTCCGCACGGGACCAGCACACCAACTTTATCACCGCCTCCTCCGCCACGAAAGGCGGCGGCGGCGAAAAATCCCAAAGCGGTAGAGGCGAAGGCAGCTGCAGCAGGGGCTGTGGAGCCACTGGGTCGGTAGCGGCGACGGCTCGGCTGTAGGGTCACATCGCGGGAGCGGGAAGGGGACAGCCACAGGCAGGGACGACGGGAATGGCCGGAGCGAGCAGGGACCGGGAGCTCTGGGGGGGATTCGTAGGAGACACAAACTTCTCCGGCACCAGCACAAAGTTGTTGTAATTGTGTCACACAGCGAACCCCACGCCGCTGCCGTGACCCCCCCCTTTCCTGCCCGGCTTTTGCCGCCAATCCGAGCAGGCCCTTCGCCTCACGTGACCTTTGTTGACTCGCGTCAGCCGTGGCTCCACTTAACTTGCTAGCTGCTTTAGCCCGCCCACCGAGGCCGCCACAGACCCGGGAGCGGGGTGCTCGGCAGCTCTGCTCGGTGATTGGCTGAAGGGTCCGTCCGTCCTGAGAAGGGTTGTCACTGAGTGGGGGCAGCCGGCTAGGTTGTGCTTCTTAAATACGCGGGCGGGCAGAGAATGGAGGGTACGGGCCGAGTGGCTTCGGGAGCCCTGGCGACTGGGGGTGGGGGGGAAGGAGGGGAGGGCTCGGGCAGGGCGAGGTCCGACACCGCCCGCGGCCGGTGGGCGAGCGCGGGGACACCGTGGACGGTCTGTGCCTTGCGGTAGGCCGAGACTGCGGCTTCGGTGCTCCTGCGCTCACCCGCGCACTCCGGGAATTGAGAGCCCCACAGGGCCGAGGAGTCCCACACCGCTGCCCTCGGAAGAAGGCGCACACTTTGACCCCGCCACAAATAAGGACCTCCATGGGGAGTGCGCCAGAGGGGCAGCTGCCCGGGCGCCGCCCTAGACTAGGCCCCAGTAGCAGTCCAAAGCCCCACACCCCCGCCCCCAAGGTGAAGGGGAAAACGTCCCCGACCCCCCGCCCACACACCCCAGGCCGGAAGGAGTGAAGAGTCGCCCGCAGGGGTCTGGCGCGCTGGCTGCGGCACCCCACCGCCAAAGGTCTGTCGGCAGCACTTTCGGGCCAAATCTAACTACTGCTTGGATTTACCCCGCACCCTTGCAGTAATTCATTACACTCTAAGAAAAAGAACAGTGAAATTTGTTGAGAGGGGGATACCCAGAATGCTGCGTCCTGTTGCTGTCGTCTCAGTGGGACCTCCATGGAAGAGTAGGAAGTGCATGTGAACTGACCTCAGAGAACAGAGCCTCAACACACTTTTCTGCCCAAAAGAGCTTTTGCCTGCTTCCCCGACATACGGAAACCCTTAGTAATATTTACTTGTTCTGCCCCTCAGGAAGGGCAAATAAAAATCTGCTGTTCAATCCACAGTATAATCAGGAGAAAAACTAATGAACTTAGAAAGGCAGGTTTAATTTGTATCTCATATAGCAGGGCATACCTCCAGTTTTAGGGCATAGGGAAGTACTGATTATTAAAGAATGACTATATGAAGAAAAGGATTCCTTTATAAGTGGAGTTTTATATGTTTTAAATAGTAAGTTTACACCTGTAATCAATAGGGTATATTTAAATTTCGATTTCAGACTATGTGAGTGCTGAGTCAGTAAATCCTAGCTGGATTTAGTGAGACAATGACAATCCCGAGTGATTTCTGCAAACACAGGGCACTTTCATGTTTAATTACAGTTTTGGAAAACATCTCTTCCACTCTATGGGATTCCATTTTACTTGAGTGAGTGCAGGGGACTGAATATTTTCTATAGCTAAATTAACACATGTATTGTTTAGTGTCACCAATGGTCACCTTCAAAACCTGGAAGATTTTTGGCCTCACTACCACACAAACACTCTCTTGCACAAACAGAAATCAAATCTGCCAATATTTGGCCATATTCCCGAAGTTAGTGGTTCCTGATTCAGTACCTTCCCAAAAATGACATAAAACCACCCATAACTCAATGCCTTCCTGTCCTCCATTGTTAGGATAAAATATTAGGGGTAGAGTGATGGGGGTGGCTGAAGTCTAGCTTTCTAATCCTTTGTCCAAGCTGTGTGACCTCTAATCCAAAACTGTTGTTTTACTTTGGGGGGATTCTTGTTTGTTGAGGCATAGATTTTATGAGACAGGGTCTGACTCTGTAACCCAGACTGATTTCTGGGTTCTCTGGCCTCAGACTCTTCCCTTCTGGGCATAGAAGACATGTACCACCATGCCTGGCTAAACCAGCACTTTATTTATTCCAACTACAAGGATTTATCCTCCATCAAGCATGAAGCAGTTTCCATATAGGAACATAAATTTTACATCACTGTGAGTTTTTGACCTTTTTCATAGTTTATCTTCTATCAAATGTAAGTAAAATAAGTTTGGACCCTTTCTCATTCACTGTTGAGAAAATGATTAAATTTTATTTTAAATTTATGACATACAAAGATGGGAAATGTTTATTTTATAATAATTATATCTGTGGAAAATAGTAACTGGGCTGATTTAGCTCAATTGGTAGAATGCTAGCCTATCATCATACATGAAGCATTTAGTGTGTTCCCCAGCACAGCATAAAGAGGGTGAGGCAGCACAGACCTCTAATCCAATCACTCAGAAGGCAGAGACAGGAGGGTCAGAGGTTGAAGGTTATCCTAGGCTACAAAGAAGGGCATCAAAACATGGAAGGCAGAGTGCTGTCACAGTAAGAGCCTGGTCTGTATTACATCATACAAATCTAGGCTTTAATCCTATCTCTACTACTTAATTGTGAGGCAGCCAACCTTCAATAACTTAGTTCCTCAAAGTATTTGTCACTAAGCCTGACAATATGAGTTTGACTCCCAGATCCATGAATTGACACTTGAAAATTGTCTTCTGACTTCCACAGGCTTACTATGACATACACATGTGTACACACATACACACACACACACACACACACACACACACACACATAATTAAAAAAATTAACAAACTCTGACCACTTAATGAAATTATTTTAAAGAGTAGACACTGTGGCCTGGAGTAGGGGCACATGCCTTTAGTCCCAGCATTTGGGAGGCAGAGGCAGGTGAATCTCTTGAGTCTGAAGCCAATTTGGGCTACACAGCATGTTCCAGGATAGCCAGGGCTTTCACAGAGAAAACCTGCCTCAAAAAATCAAAAATAATGAAAGAAAGAAAAATTGGATACTGTAAAAGAGATGGAGTACTAGATATATAATATAGAATCCTAAGTCTTAATAGGACTCGGTGTGATTAGCATACTCAGGGACTTAAAGTCAATCTCCAGCATCAAAATAAACAAAATTGAAAATTTTGATTTTTGAGATCTTTTCTTGCTTTCACATACAGGGCCTAAATTTTTTATCAGTACACTACAAATCACTTCTGCCTATCCTTCACCCTCCCTATAAACCCAATACAAAAGCAATCCTAATCTACTTTATATTTGGGGAATATAAACAATATAACCAGTGTTACTATTCCCCTCATTCTAAAATGAAAAATTATATCAATTCTAGATTTTTTTATAATTCTGATAACACAATAGAAACTCAGAAAAATTAAATCAGAATTTTCCAACCTAATAAAACTTTCACAGGCAAATCAACTATATAAAACATGGTAAGTCAGCTTATGGACTAAATACTGTGTAATTTGAAGCAGTAATACACATACTATAAGTTCTATCAATGTCAAATCAGTTACAAGAAAATAAATTTAGCTTATTTTAAAGAACTAAATATTTAACCTAAAAAATGCAAAATGAATAATAAAAACCTGGAGACAGGGTTCAAGCTGCAGATCAGAAAAGCAAAGCAGTCAAGTCACTAAGGAGCTCTTATCTCTTTGAAATCTTCAGACTGAAAGAAAGCGAGTTCCTGTCTAACCCCCACTTTTTTTTTAAAGATTTATTTATTTATTATGTATACAACATTCTGTCTACATGTATGCCCACATTGCCAGAAGAGGGCACCAGATATCATTACAGATGGTTGTGAGCCACAACATGGTCACTGGGAATTGAACTCAGGACCTCTGGAAGAGCAGCCAATGCTCTTAACCACTGAGCCATATCTCCAGCCCTGACACCCACTTTATAGTCCTCTCTAGTGCTGGGACCAAGGACATGCACCACCACCACCTAGCAATTATGACTAACTAGTGTGACTGCTGGGATGAAAGGTGTGTGTCATCACTACCTGGCTTATATGGCTGACTAGTATAGCTGTTTTGTGTTCTCATCTTCAGGCAAGCTTTATTTATTAAAATACAAATGAAATATCACTACATTTCTCTTTTTGTCTAAAAAATAAGGCTATAACTAATATAAGAAAACTATATACAATATATACAGGCAATAAATATATCACAATGTCTAGTCCATTTGCATTTGACATATTCAGAGAAAATACTCCATATCTATCCTATCTTGGTGAGTCCAAAGTTTTGTACTAATTTACTTTCTATTATAACTTGATTTCTGCATCTGGTAAACAAGGAAAACTATAACTCTCTAGTCTTCAACTCCCTCGGAGACTCAAAAAGGAAATAATATTAACTGAGTATGCAGGAAGTATAAACAAGTGACTTCCAAAAAATGTGAGAAATGACAGAAAACATCTGACTGCATGGACAGTCACCCAGAGTTCCTCCGTAACTACATATTTGGCCTACAGGCCTAGCATATCCAACAACCTTTTCTGTGAAAGCAGGATATTCTGAAAGGCTGTCCCTCTTGTCTTGACCATGTTTACTTTTGTGTCCTGCTTGTCCATTTAGGGCAGCATGACATCAGCAATTGAAGCAAGGGCATTTTCTTGCCCATTGGTGTGTTTTTGTACATGTGGAACTTCTTCAATGTTTATTATCTACTCTGAAGTAGATTGGTGCTGCTAGGAGCAGACATGTCGCATTGTCATAAAAAAAGAAAGAAAGAAAGAAAGAAAGAGAAACCTATATTATTAAAATATCTTAAATCCTATATTTTAGAGATCTCTGAAGTGTTTGAAGGTGACCTGTCGATCTAAAATATATCTTTGTTTGACCTTGAAAACATACCTAATGTGACTGCAAGTTCAATTATAATAGGTGATTAACTACTAACATGTATTTCCTTATTATCTTAAATATTTAGTATAATAATAATTTTCAAGGACTAGAAATTTGCATTACATTGTTAAATGAGTTGTATAGGTATAATACATTGAACAAGAGTAGAAAAGTATGTACAATACATTCTTGTAAGGAGCCGTCAGGACATTGCCATTGCGAAATGGTGCTGGCGGTCCTG